GCTTAAGAGAAAAGAAAATTTTATACTTGGAACAAATTCTAGATCTTGAGCTTAAAAAGTAAAGGAATGGCCATACATACAAGTCAACTTCATAAACAAAAAGGGTAGAATTCCAAATTGGTATAAACTCATAAAAGACAAAGAGAATAATTTTGGATAATTATAAATAATTACACAAATAAATGACAAGCAATACAAAATAATTACAATTTAAATAAATACAACTGGATAGCCAAGAAAAAGAAAAATACTAATCAAATAAAAATAGGAAGAATAAAGAAAAATAAAACTACAAAAAATAAAACAATAAGAAAGAAAAAAAAATCAAGAATATGATTAAATGTAAAAAATAATTAACAAACTAGTTCTCTGAAATAGGATAAGAATAAAAGCAAAAGAAAGTAAGTAAATACTGTCATTTAATGAACTTGGATTTGTTTGTAAATATAAATACAAGTAAAATATAAAGTCAGTATAATATGTTCAATCAAAATAAAAGGAAGAGAAAAAAAGTGAAAAGATATTTCATGATTTTAGTGAACCACAAATGTAGTATCATAATATCAATATTTATCATGCAGAAGCACTATTGAGTAAGTATTACTTCATCTTGTGACTTGCAATGTTACAAGAACTTTTTCCTATATAATTGGTATGCATTTTAGAAATTTTTTTTTTTAAAAAAAACACATTAAAATTAATAAATAAAAAATCAATAGATTAATTAAAGATAAATAGATTAATATATAGAAAAAATTAATTAAAGATAAATATATTAATAAACAAAAAATTTGTATAAAATGTTTTAAGAATATATAATTCATATGGTTATTAGTTAGAGAAAAGAATTCAAAATAATGGAAAAGTTACAAGTGATAAGCAGAATATAACAGAATCTCCTAAGAAACTTGTTTGATCACATTCCATACACTTTAAAATTTAATGATATGGATATAATAAGAAATGAAAGGTATAGAATAAAACTACTAGTATATAATATTATTTACATTTAGTAAGTAATATAATAATTTATTTGTTTTTTAGGATATTTAGTAGTCAATTGTTATTTGCAGTTTTTCTTCACATCTTCTAGTGTAAATATAAAATATTTTATTCTTGTTGATTTTAAAATTACAATTTCTATTAAAGTTAAAAATAAATCAAAAAAAAAATAGTAATAGTAGATGGCAATCTTTATATATATTTTTATGACATTACAAGTCATAAAATTAAATTAAACTAATGGTGGAGTAAAAAAAAAATCCATTAAACTAATTATAGCTATAATTTAAAATATGAAAAAAAATAAAGTACCAATATTAAAAATTATTGATAATTAATAATTTAATATTTTGACACGATAATTAATACAACTGTACAAATTAAAAATTAAATGATTAGATCTTTAAATAATAATAATATTAATTAAGTTATCTTGATATATTTAAAAATACAAAGTTTATATTCTTTTTTATAAAATATAAATTAATTAAATATAAATTGAAAGTAAAAAATTAAAAATGAAAATTATTTTGGATAAAAAAAAATCATCTAAAAACAATATAAAATTATTAACAATATCACTAAGATAAAATAAAATTCAAAAATTTATAAAAAATATTTTTATTAAATGACAATTTACTAATTATATTGAAAATGAAATGAAAGCCACAGAATAAATTAAAATCACAGAATAAATTAATTTAAATATATAGAAATAATATCTGATATAGGAAAGATAAAATGAAATCAAACTGAAGAGAAAGAAAATGATTAGTAAGAAAACACCACTTAGAAATTTAGAAGAGAATACAATTGGTGGATCAGATAGCAGACTGAGAAAAGCTATTCAAGAAGAACTATTTACAGATGATAATATTAATAAACAGCAGATAATAATATTAATTAATTGTAAAAGAAGATTATTAGGATAGGAATTTTTTAATTTAATTTTTTTTTTCATTGAGAAAACTATGCTTCATTTTATTAAAATTAATAAAAACATGAAATAGACATCTTATAAAAGTAAAGATAACAGGTTATTCAAGAAAAAAACACAGCTAAGATAAAATAAATTTATTATACAAAGAAAGATTTCAAAGTATTGTGCAAATTAGCACAATAAATTCCTTATAGAAAATAACAAGTATTTTTGATTCTGTAGATAATAGTTACAAATATTCAATTAATGATAATTAGATTAGTATTTTCAAACACAAAAGAATATATTATGAAGTACATTTATGGAAAATATCGAGGTTCTACATAATAAAAAATACTATACTTCAAAATAAACTTCATTTATTAAAGAAATGAAGACAAAGTGGTCTAATAGATAAAAGATGATTTTAAAACTAAATTTGCATTATAGATTATTTCAAAGTTATTCATATTCAGTAACAAAAATAAACTTTGGTATTCTATATTAAAATATAAATAAACTGAGAACATGAACTATAAGAAATTAGCATTAATCTTGATGCTACTAGCACCACTGGATTACATATATCATGTCTATCTACTCTATTTTGGATTCATTAATTAAGCCACAATTCTTTTCTCTTTCTTGCTATACTTTATTTCTTATCTTCTATTTTTACAGGAATTATATTTTTTATAAAATGACTAATTCCAATTCCCAAGTGATCTTCAGAGAAACCTAATTCCAGTTTTATCTTTTTCATTTATATTAATTTGCAGAAATTTAAACTTATTTTCTATAACATAAATTGTTTAGAGAAAAATTACTCTGTATTATAAGTTCCCATTTTATTTATTTTTGTTTAAGTTTTTTGTTAACCTCAATTAAATCATTTCATTAGCTCTTATTTTTATATTTCCTTTTTTTTTATTGTCATTAGATAGATTTTTTTCGTCTTCTGTTTTAATTCATTCCTATATATCATCAATTTTAATAGCATAATAAATAATATGTTATTTTATTAACAAGTATAAAAAAATTTTGAATTTAATTTGTATTTTAATAATTCACGTAACAATTTGCAAAAATGTTAATAAACCAAATGAACTAATTGTATTAAAAATAATACAATGTTATTTTTATTATTATTTATTGACAAGACTTTAAATAATTCTCAAACCCCCTTAATGAAAACACATTATATTGATAACAATTACTAATATATTTTATCTTTTGTCATTAATAATATAAAATAAAATAATTGAATATTATTAAAAAAAGAATAGAAACTTTGAATCTTTCTTGGTAAAAATTGAAAACCTCATATTAACAAACTGAAAATAAAAACTGATGAGAAACATCTGAAAAATGCAATACTTTTGGACTAATAAATTAATCGGAACAAATTGATTTAGAATATATTGAATAAACCATGCAAAATATTTTTTTCAGTCTTCAAATCATCTGTTAAATGTAAAGTAGACCAAAGCTAAACCTTGAAAACACTGGATAATTATAAATAGCATAATTAAAATTCTTTGATACCTTGCTTAAAATAGAATTTTTCATATTTGTAGTCTTTAATGAAAATGCAAAACTATCTTCAGTCTGATTCTGTTGATTTAGAGTATTATTCTACTCAAGAGGATTGCATCCCCCCAGAATTTCTCCTGTGCCTCCCACTTTCAAAACAATGACTGTATTAACTACTTTCTCACAAATATTATGAATTGTTTTAACATCAAACCCATCTCTAGATCCTCTAACAAGTAATTCAAATACATATAGTTTATTTCCTATATAAAAGATTTCTTTTTTATCAATTCAGGATGCAATTTCAAGTGAATTCTCATTAGTGATGATATTAGAAGGCAAGGAAGTTGAAATATTTTAAATATAGCACTTCCACTAAGAAATGCATCAAGGTGGTAAGACAACAAAAAAATCTATTTGGGTGGTGTAATAAATTTAGTATTAATATCTAAAAAAAGTTTTTGATATGGATAAATCTTTTCCATGACATTTTCTCTAGAAATGCTAAAATATCTTATGTGTGGGAGACAGTGTTTCAAAGTTTCTTTAAGGTTAAGAAATTATCACCTGTCCATTTATCGAGACTAGTAGACAAATTAGGGTTTTTAGCTTTTCCCCATAGAATCATATATTCCCAAATTTTATCTTCTTCTAATTGCAAGTTATCTCTTTTGAGAATAGACATTAATGCATCTTCAGGAAAATTTTTATCTTAAAAAATAGTATAGGGATGTTTGGCTATAATGTTATTACAGAAGTCTTAAATAATTTTAAGGTTTTTGAACTTGATAACTTTTTTGATAAATTTGAGAAAATTTTAGCCTTAACCAAGAAGCACAATTGTTGGTAAGATAAGAGCAAAATAGGTTAAATGAATTTCAATATTGTTTGTACATCATTGTACAAAGTTTTTTCAAATCTCAATTAAAGTTTTATAGCAAACAAAATAAGCAATACATCACTCCCACTAAATATTTTCCTGTTTTCCTTTTTAATTTTTTGTTCCAAAGTAATTGACAGTTTTAGTTTTTTTACTTTTTGTAAATAAAAAATATATAGTTAAATTTTTTTTAATATTTTTTTGAAAAGTTGTAATTTATAATTTTGCAGTAACGCTCATTTTTAAATTAAATTTTATTTGAAATAATAACATAAATATTTTATTTACTTTAATTAAATCAATTAACAAAATTGAATATTTTAGATTTATTTTTACTCTATTCAATTTATTTTATGAAATTTCATTATTATAGTTTAAGTTTATGATGAGTTTAATTTTAATATTAAACCTATCAATTTTAGGATTAAATGTAGTATTAAGATCTCCCATCACTATTGCATAATGCCTGTCCTTAACTATATAATTGTTTAACTCTTGTATTATCCATTTTACTACATGAGTTCTTAGCTTCTTTTAGTTTGCACTTGTTGGATATTATACTACTATTATTTGTAATTTTATTTTTTTTTGAATGACAATTTTATAGAGGTCACATTACCTTCATATTTTTCTATTTTATAAACATGTTTTGCTCATGTTTTTTTATCATGATTCTGACTCCTGAACCATTTGTTTGTTGTCCATTTGTTCAAAAATATTTGTATTCATCAGCATTTTTATCTTTCTTTGTATTTCTTTTATTGTATCATTTTTGAATATATATTTACAATTTTCATCTTTTGCCCAGGTTTCCATTATTCCAATTATATCTAAGTCTTTATCTTCACAGAATTTCAACCAATCTATTTGTTTTGTAATGTTTGTCATTCCTCTTATATTTTGAGTGACTATTTTTAAAGTTTTTAAATCATTCTGATTTATATTCTTATCCATTATGACACTATCATTGTTTTGATCCATATTTATACATAATTGTTACTATTTATTAGTCCATTATTTATATTTTTAGTTTTATTTATGTTTTTAATTTTATCTTCATTTTAAAATTTTTTTTTAGATTTTTTTTAAATGTTTTCTAAATTATTATTATTATTTAAAAAAAGATTGTTATTATTGTTTTTAATATTAATGTTATCAATTATATTAGTATTTTGTTCATTTTTTACTATATTATTATTATTAATGTTCATATTTTTATGATTGTTCATCATAATATATTTTTTTTAAAATTATGTTCCTTAAATTAGGGTTTTGTCCCTTCCTTGTTCATTATTTTTTTCAATATGTTTTTCTACTCATTTAATTGGGCCAAAGTTGTTTTATTTCTTCTAATAGAGTTTTAACTGTTTCATAGATATAATTTATTGTTTCTTCATTTCTTTCCTTTCTTTTTTATTATTCATTGTTTTCGCCTTTGATTTTTCTTTTTCATTCATTTCTTCATTTTCATCATCACTGATTTCCATTTCTCTTACTTCTCCATCATTTAATATTTCATAAGCACAATGAGTTTTCACTAATTCTAATCTTTCATCTATATCTTTCACCTGTTCCTTTTCCTTGATTTCTTTTATATCTTGCTGGATTTCTAATAACATGTTCATAATATTTTCATTTGTTGTGTCACTCTTTTCTATTATATTATTTTTAACTTTCTATTTATATTATTTTTAACAGCATTGTTCCCATGTTAATTCTTCCCATCAGAGATTTATATAGTTGTGACCTTTATCTTTTATATAATTGCCCAATTTTTTCAAAATCTCTTGCTTTTCTTTCACTAATTTTCCTTTGTTTTTTTTGCCACAGGACAACTGATCACAAGATGATCTTATGCATGACATCTGTAAATCATTTTCGAAATTGCACCACTATTTGCAGTTTATATTCTTCTGCAATCCATTCAAAATTTATAGCTTTGTATTTTCTTTCTTAACTCTCAAAAGAAGTTATGGCTATTTGTTTCTTCTTCCCATATATATTTTGTGGAAAATAATATGTTTTGGTATCAAAAGGACTTATTATATTATATAATTCCTGTGCTGTAATATCAGGTGGTAAATTGATGATCTTTACTGCATATTTACCTCTTTCCTTAAGTTGAGTAAAATTACATGTGGGTGATGTTACTCTGCATGATTCTTCCCCAATAATTTGTGACCATTCCATTAATAGATTTTTAGCTGTGCTTCTTTCTTAAATTGTACTAATGCAGATGACCACAATCCTCTTGTACTCATACTGTATGAGGTTACATTTCCAAATTTATTTTTTATCATACTTTTAAATTCTTGTTCCTACATGCCAATTGGTATATCCAGAACTAATTCCTTTTTCATTATTTGTTTTTTTATTTTGGTTTATTGCTGCTCTTGTTAGAGTTGACCTATCATTTAATTGTGTTCCTTCAATTTCGGTTTTACATGCCTTTTCCATATCTTCCTTTTTTTCTAGATATATTGCAATATATAGTTTTTTATCTTCCAAATTTTTTTTCAGTTTTGATTGTAATAATATTAATTTCTTTTTTATTTAATAAATTTGCTATTATATCAATTTTTCTTTTAAGTTTTTTCCATGAACTTCTCCGTTTTAATTCATACTTATACTTTTGTAAATTAATTTTTTTTCTCCATTCCTCATGTACACTTAAGAAACTATCATCTGAGTTTACTGATTATTATCTTCTGTTTCTGTGTTTGTAATATTTTGCTCATTTGTTTCATTATTTTCTTTCTCTGTTTCAATGATAATCTCTTTTCCTTTACCTTTTTCATCTTTTTTTGTATTATCAATTGTTTTCATATTATTATCTGTAGTTTATTCACTTATACTATCTTCATTTAATAATAAATTTTCTTCTACTGGAATAACTCCATGTTACTTGTTTTTGTTTCTGTAGTTTTTGTCTCTTTGCTCAAATCACTTGTGCCTGCTGTTGTACTAACTTTTGGTCCATAAGTATTTGCAATAATGCTTCTTGTGTCCAGAATACTTGTTGCCTTTGACTTTAGGGTTCTTCTAGTTGTATCTAACTTGTTAAGTCTAGTTTCATAAATTGCTCTTGACTGTCTTGGACATCTGCTCCTGTTTTCCATATTTGTTCCTGATTTATTTTGTTATTTTATTTGTTTTTTTTATTTATTTTATTAAGAACTTCCTTTCCTTGAATGTTTTGGTGTAATTGATCAGTGGAAAATTAAAATTTATGAATATAATTTGAATTTATATTTAAATTATTTACACTTTTCATTTTTGTAAAAATTCCATTTTTTCTTGTCCACTAACATAAACAATAATTTCATTTGGTAAAAGACTAGCTGTAATGAATCTACTAATTCGTTAATTTATAAACAAGAAAAAACGCAAAAACTATTTATTAAATATGAAAATAATATCAACAAATGTTATTCCAACAAAATAGATTGTAATTAAATTAATTGACAAGAACTTGCTTGCCTCTTTTTATTCATATACTATTAATATAAAAATACATAATTATTTATACATAATATAAATATATAATAAATAATATCTTAGTTCTTAGAAGACCAATCCGGATGGTTGCATTTGATAAAATATAAAAGAAAAAATATAAATAAATAAAGATAAATGATTAACACATGAGATTAACTATATTGCAAATCTTTTGTATATCAAAGCTAATCACATATGCTATTATTTATTATCAAAAATAATAAAATAGAAAAATAAAAATAAAGAATAAAATAAAATAAATAAATGAAATAGGTTAGTGTCATCAACTATGTAAACTATGGTTTAGTCAAAATTGTTACACTAGCTAAATACTCACTGCTCACTGGAGAAAGATTATTTATTATGCCTAAATTTCTCCAAGTCAATGAATGTGTATCTAATGTATTTATTTCATTGTAAGCCATTCTAACTTGCTCTGAAAAATCAATAGTGTTAAATCCACCAAATAAATATATAATTATTGAATCATCAATTATTTCTATTATTTGCTGTCTAACAGGAATATTATCACCAGTAATTGATAGAGTGGTCCATTTAAAATTATGAAAATCTAGTGCATAAACTTGTTTCGTGTGGACCAAATTACAATTTTTTTTTAATGCAATATGCTCACAAATTTTTTTATTCTTCTTAGAAATTTGTGAAATCATTTCTGTGGCTTTGATCATGAAAACTGGCATTGAGAAACTAAGAGAAATTGTTTCCCAGGTATAGAAATACTTGGATTTAAATTTGCTTGTATATCATTTGTGTGGACCAAATTACAATTTTTTTTAATGCCAAATTTTTATTCTTATTAGTTGAAGATTTGGCTCAATTACCTTCAGTCAAAGGTTCTCAATTATTTTATTCACCAGTATGGGAAAACTTTTTTTCACTTTTTCTTACAACTATTTATAGGCAACAAGATGATACTGAATTCTTTAATGTACTTCAAGAAATAAGAGTTGGCAATCTTAGTCAATCATTAATTAATCTAATTAACTCAAAAATATCTGTATCACAAAATAATCCATTAATGACAACACATATTGTGGGACATTGTAAAACTGTAGATACTATAAATAATTATATTGTGAATTTTTTACCATTACAAAATGAAAATTTTGCACCATTAATTTCTTATTCTATTGATCATATGAATGGACAAGAATGGAAATCTGATGATGATGAAAAATTATTTAGAAGATATATAAATTTTCCATCAATAATAACTTTGGTACTAGGAACTAAAGTTATGTTTTATATAATCATTTATTTTCTAATTGTTTATGTAATGAATCAATTGGAGTTGTACTGGAAATTCTTGACAAAGAAAATATAATAGCTGCATTTCCACTATCACTAGGAATTTCTTATGTAAAAGTCATTAAAGAGACAGATTATTTTAATATTTATGGATCACCAGCACAACATGAACAGTTTCCATTACAAAATGCATTTGCTTTGACTGTGCATAAAACACAAGGATTGACATTACCTCATCCAATAGTTTCAATTGATAAATCCATGTTTGTTTCTTGTCAAGCAGATGTTACTTTGAGTCATTTACCATCATGGGTATCATTAAACATTACATCATTTGATTTATCTGCAATTAAAGTTGATGAACAAATGTTAGTTAATATACAAGATTGAAAGATATCTTTGATAAAGGAATTTATGAATATAGGCAAAGAATTAGTGGAATTCGTGAATAATAATTTTAAATTTGAATTAATATCAAATCATTTATTTTAATTCAGTATTGTGATAAATTTAGCAAATATTCAAAATATAAGTAAAAATTAAATTAGTAAAATGGAAATATTTAGTTCAGAATTCTGTTTTTCCAAAAAAATACCATAAAACAACTCCCCCCTTGTTATTAATTAATTTTATGTTTTCAAATTCGGAATATTGATAAAATGGGATAATTTCTTTTTGAATAGTATCTTTAATAATCGAATTATCCATCCAAGACTCCCATTCGTTTATATCTTTATCTTCATAGTCTTTAGTTATTCCTTGGAACATGAATATTAAACAAGCCGTCGATTTATAAATAACTAAGTCACACCGAGAAAATTAATATTTTATTTATAAACTAATTATTTTTAAGTGCAGATCTTCAATGATCGCCATTTTCGTTTTTTTATAAAACAAGAAGAAACTACTGAAAAACGTACAAAAAATAACATTTATATAATTAGTTCCTCACGAATATTATGATTCTATGAAAAGAAAAATAAAATTTATTTTTTATGGTAGAAAGTGTCGAAGATATTGCTAGAGATAGTCATTATACATTCAAATATTGTGGCGAAATGAGTGCGAACATGGATCAACTCAAGTTAATAGCCATTGAGTTTGGTATAGGCAACGACCAAAGTTTAAATTTATTATTTTTGGCAATTTTCTTTGAACTGGAATTTCTCTATGCACAGACATTCAATTTTAACAAAAAAATCAAATAAAAAAATGTTTATGTAATTTAATCAACCGTTGTGACACAATTCATTTTAAATTTAGTAAATTTTTTTATTAATTTCTAGTTGCCTGGTGACTTTTGATAACCCACTATACACATAAATAACACTTTATTTTCAATCAACTGTATTATTTGTTTATGCTCCAATAATAAAAGTTAAAAATTAACTTATATTGATTTTCAGTTTACCTTTGAACAATTTATAAACTGTCTGAACACAAATAATAAATAATTCCAAATATTTGCATTTTCGAAACATCAAGCCAATAATGATTTATTTTAAATGATTACATACTGGTCTGCTATAATTTAAACAAAGCTATACTTTATAATTCCAGTGATCAAATAAAATAATAAAATAAAATCTAATAAAATAATGAATAAATAGTTTTAGGGAAAATATAAAAAAGTGTACAATAACACAATGAATCAAGACTAAAAATGAATTTTCCAAAAATTAATGTTTAATTTTTCAGAATTTCATTTTCTTCAATTTCTTCAACTATGCAATTTAAAGTTTGTTAATTTCATTTAGTTAAATTATTAACCAATTATTAAAAAATAATTCAAGAGACATAATACTCACTTACATCATCAGGAACTTTCAAATCCCATTGTTTTGTATCTAAAATAATAATGAATGTAAATATTTTATATAAAAGAGTTAATTTATTTCTTGTTAAAAAATAAAATAATTACCATGTGTATTAGTTTCAAATTTCTTTGATCTCAGAAAAGGCAAATGTCTGCTTGTATATATTGCTTCAGGATGCATTTCTTTTGGATTATATCTGACAAAATCCACGTTTGACCCATTTGCTGCTTTAACTTGTTTGTTTACTTGTTTTCTCATTTTATTATCCTTCAAAAGATACTTATCAAGTTGAGATTTCAATTTTTTAGCAGTTGGACGATTGAGGGGTTCAAAATTCCAGCATTTCTCCATTATTTCTTTGAGGAATTGGGGAATTTCACACTTAATTTCAGGTTTAAGCCCTTCACAAATGCCCATTGCTAGTTTTTCATTATGTGGAATATTGTAATATGGTGGATAACTAGTTAGAACTTCGTACATAACCATTCCAAAAGAGTAAATGTCAGATGCTTGACTATATTCTCCTTTACTCAATGTCTCAGGGGCCATGTATGGAATTACACCATAAATATT